GAGGTGCCCTTCAGCGCGCCGGGCCTCTCGCCGGGGGTTTGCGTGTGCAGATACGATGTGTGGCTGTCTCGGGGGCAGTTGCTCTTTTTCTTTTCTCTTTTTTTTTTTTTTTTTTTTCCCTGTTTCTCTTTAACCCGGGGAGAAAGTTTTCCCCACCCAATGTCTTGGAAATGCATTTGCAAGGAAGATTAAGTTGACTAAAACAATGTGAAAGACAAAGGAACAAAGTACTTATTTTATGTCTGATATGGTCACAACTGAAACGTGGGCTGAGGACGTTACTCCGGAGCCCATTTGCCTCGCAAGCTGATCCCGTAACAGCCACGCAGTGCCGAGGTGCAACCTCTCCCGCTGGTTTGAAAGCTGCAGCGAGGAGCCTTGAGAATTAAATCCCGCTTGGGTTTGTGCACATCCCGGTGCTGCCAGTGTCCAGGTGACCTGCAGCCGGGTGGCCGCTGCTCCCCGCTGGGAGCCGCCTGCCCGTGCAGCAAGGCCCTCGCGGCCGCCTGCCTCCCAGCCGCGGCTTCCTGGGGCGCTCCTGGGGCGCGCACAGCGAAGGCAGATTTGACCCATCTCCAGCTCTCTGGTAACCTGAGAACGTGGTGTTTCTGCTGCGAGCAAGTGACCTCTGTCACCTGTCCTGATCGTCACAGCCGCGAGACAAAGCGTTTACACAGCGCTTTTCCTCCCATGCCTCCGTTGCGCAGGTTGTGTCATCGTCCTTCCTGGTCCTGGGTGGCGGTTACCTCATCTGAGGCACTACAGGGTTCCCGGGATGGCTTGAAAAGAGTTTTTCCTGCCCTGTCTGTATGTGCATCGTGGCTAGGGGCAGGAATTCCTCTTGCATTTTCCACTGCTTTCACTAGGAACATACCCCATCTAACTCTAAAGCATCTTGGGTCTAAGATCAATCATTTTTGGTTCTGGTGTTGGCGCTGGGACTCCAATGATTCATCACCTACAACTTTGTTTCATTGATCTTGCCCTCTTAACACACCTAAATTTGTTGGAAGTTGCTAAATCAGGTGCCCAAGGGTATAGACACTCTTGTTCCTGCTCCATTTATCTTTTTTTTTTTTTTTAATTTGTGGGAGCAAGAGTTAGGAAACCATAGCTATCAAATACTGCTTTGTGATGGTGGAAGACAAGCTAATGCATTTTTCATTTTCTTAAATAAATGAGAGAGAAGAAAAGGCTTTTTTTTTCCATGTACAATATCTTTTTAAATTAATGCAATGTTTATTTGTTTTGAATGATTAATCTCTTCCCACCACCTTGCACCTGCTTTTTTAATGCCTTTGCCTTTAATGATCATGAGCTTGGAGGAGAGGATTGAACATACAGAACTTTGTAATAGCAACTGGGTATTAATGCTAATTTAATTTTGAAACTCTCTGTTCTGATCTACTTTCTTTGGAGCTCTTCCCTTTTTTATCCTCCCATTAAAATATTTTCCATCCTATGCCTTGAATCTCCCACAAGTTTTGTATGTTTTCCATTCTCATAAGTACCTTGAGAACGTAACGCGTAAGGTTAGAAGAAAACAAGTTCATTGCTGTTTGTGCAGATTTTTGAGAGAGGGAGGGAGGAAGGTGAAGTGGGTTGTTTTGTGTCACTTTCTGTTGGCTTCAGTGACGCTTTGAGTATGGGAGCCCTTACAGACCAGCAGAGAATTTGCCCTGAGGCTTTTTGCTTCCACTTGGGGCTGTTTTTTCACCAACTCTGTAATGATGGATCCCTGGCAAAAATAAGGAGCCGTTTCATCACTATTACCTGGTGTCAGACAGAGCTGGGTTGGTATCAGGTCTGTGTAAGCCGTGCTGAACGGGCATGCAGCTAAAGTGGTGCCAGATATTTGGTTTGGTGCTGTTCCGGTGCCAGGGCATTGCTTCAGCTTTTTCTGTGAATCTTACTCAGTGGTTGTTTTTCTTCAATTCTGTCTAAATTTTGAAGTGCATTATCATTGATTTTTAATAAATTCCCCAAGTCCCTTTGAGGTAACTTAAAACATGGAACTCTTAATTCGGCTATAATTGAAAAAAAATCAATGTGTTTTCACTGATGAATATAAAGACGGACTCTTCTTTGTCAAGGTGGTACTTTTTATAGAAATTGCACTACAGTCAATAACAGTATCTTCTTTTAGCAGGTGACATTACAAGAAGCACTGTTCAAAACCATTGTGATTCCTGTTAAGCAACTTCATGAGGTAATCTAGATATAAAAGCTTTTCTAAATATTTAAAGCTCTGTGTATGCTCACTGCTTAGGATGTGTAGGTTAATGTTCCTGTTTGTTCCTGTCTCCTCTCACTCTGTGCTTACTGAACTGGCTCTGGTAACCTGGATACTGGAGTATATTACAAGAGGCGTCTTAATCAGCCTGCAGTCTGTCTTCCAGTAGTATGTTTGGGCCGGAGCGTAACTGGGCTGGGGATGGCAAAATGTAAATGCTGAACATTCATGCTCGGTGAACATGCAAAGTCCGGGCACTACATGCTGTGTTCTCCCTACCAAGAATCACCTGAAAAACGTTACAGGAAAAAAAAAGCAGTGCATTAGGCCAGACTGTTAAATTATCCCACGTATCATTCATGATTCTAATGCAGCTTGGCTTTAAACCGTGAGTTTAAAGGGTTCAAAAAGAATCTTTTTGATCCAGTTAATTAAATCCTGTAATTAATAGTTGTCTTTTCTAACTGCATATGTAAATGTCTTTCAAAAACCTAACATTTTAAAAAAATAAATCCTAAAAAAAAATTGAGGAATATTTGTGTGTTTTAATAACTTGGGATAAGTACACTCTTTTATAAAATTACACTGAACAGAGACTAATAGATGGGTTCAGTAGCTACTGTGGGCCATTTAAGAGAGGTTCCTATTTGTATGTATATTATTGAAATCTGTATTTGGAAGAACTCACCCTTTTTCCTGTGAATTAAAAAACTGGTAGCCATTTTACCTTACTTTCAGTGTGTTTTCCACACAAGGAGCAACACTTAGTGTTCGCAGCCTGAGTTCCGTTCCTGTTCTTCGTTGCAGGTCGCACACATGGCCCGGTGCCGCCTCGTGCTGCCACTGCACGCGCGCTAGCGTGTGAGGGAGCGCGCCAGCAATTGCTCCCGCCCAATCCCATGTTTCATCCTGCTCTCCTCTGCGGAGAGGCCATAAGATGCATGTTATGAATTGTCTCTCCTTCGTCAACGACAAGGAGAATGGGGCTCTTTCACTTGCGCCAGGATTGATGGGCACGACAGCCATGGCAGAAAGAAACGAATGCGCAGCTTCTTCTGGAAAACCATCCCCGAAGAGCAAGTCCGGGGCAAGACCAACATCTGGACAATTGCCGCAAGGCCGCAGTATCAGATCGATACGAAGACAATCGAGGAACTCTTTGGGCAGCAGGAAGAAATCAAGCCCCAGGACCTCAGAAGTCGGTCGTTAAGGTCTTCATTTAAAGAGCCTAAAGAAGAGGTAAGAATCTCTCTTGCACAGTGTGGCAGGAACTGGTGTGAATTCTGACTGGCCTTAGCTTGTCCCTCTCTCCCCCACGGTCCATTGTTGCTGCAAATTTGTCTTAACTTGGGGGCAGGGGAACAACAGAGAGGACAAATTCTTACTGGAGCAAACTTGATTTTTGAAGAGCTAGCAGTATTTTATTGTTTTAACTTGGTAAGTGTTGTGATTTGATGATCTGATAAAATTAATATATAGATAAGGGGAGGGAGCTGAAGGCATCTGTACTTATTCTCAGTGGCTAGTCTTGAGTTTTCAGTGTGGAACACAAATGTGCTTAAACTGCAATTTTTTGTGTTTGTCTGCCTTGCCTTTTCTGAACGTTAAAATAGCCTGCTTGACTTTCCGGTGCAATGTGAAGATTGTTATTGATTCCTTTGCTAGTGGGGAGGAGATATATTCCAAGCACTTTTCAGTTTAGACATTCTCCAGTGAAGTGATAAATAATGCTTCTTGTTCTTAAATCATGATTTATGGGCAGACTCTCTGAGATCTAAACTGCATTGTCTCAGTGATCTGTCTATGTAGAAATGCAAATTTGACCACCCATGTCTCTATGTACCTGCTGGCTTGTAAACAAAATGCAGAGGGCATAGAGTTAAGGGATGTAACTGGGTATCAGGTTTTAGTGAGAAAACGGGAACTGAATCTGAGATATCTTGGAGAGTTCAAGATATGTCAAAATAACACAAAAAGCAAAGACAATCTGAGAAATTCACGTACTGATAGTGTTCACTAAGTGTACTATATGTAGACCAAAATAAGGGCTTTGAAACAGGCATGAGTATTAGCAGGCTGAAACCTGCTTCCCTCATTGGGAAGGAGCAGTTGAGGCCAGCTTCATAGGTTGTCATTCATTTCTAAATTATTGTCGGTCTATATTCATCTTGAATCAGGATATCTCTTTGCCGCGAGTGTTCTTCTTGTCCTGCATGTGCATGGAGCCTTTTGAGTATGTTTTCAAAGAAGTCTGCTTCTGGAACTGTCATGTGTTAAAAAACTAGATATAGCAAAAATGATGACAAATCCTCCAGGACAGCAGAGCGTAGTCCCCAGTGTACAGCAGTTAGGGTAGAGAAAGCCCCAGTGTTCTCTAAAGTTCATGTGTTTCTGTGCACTGGCTGAAACCTGGTGCATCCTGGGGAGGTGCAGGGTGATGCTAGAGATTCAAATTAGAGGTTTGCAAAACAAGCAGTCTCCAAGATACAGTCTCTTGGAAACAAAAATCTCCCTTGCTACAAGTTAAGGTGCCCGTGCACATGCTGGAGCTGGCAAGGTGCTCCAGAGCACCTCTGCTGTTGCTGCCCGTTCCCCCTGCCCCCGAGGCTTCTGCAACGGCAGGGAGCAGGGCTACATGGCTTGCTCGGTGAGTGGCTCAAGTGCCAGAAAGATGTAGCTGGCTGCTGAGCTGTGCCAAGCGTGCTGCAACCATGTGTCAGGCGGTGATGAGCAATTCCTGGGTGCTGATGCACTCTGCTGTGGTGGTTGCTTAGTGAGGAAGGAGGGAGATAGTACTGAAATGCTGTGTCTTAATGGGTATGTAGCACAGGCATGCTAGAGCTTGTATTTTTAAAGTTAGTGTAGCCATCATTCAGCAAACATGTTGAGATTTGAGGCACAGGCAGGGTCTGTGATTTCTGTGGCAGATGCTGTAAGCTACCACTCACTCACTTGAATGTTGGTTCAGCATGATGGTTATCCCTGGTTCAGTGTAATTAAATGACTGGAAGTTGAGAGGAACCCAGGGCAGACTGAGGAATAGGCAGCATCATGTGACCTTGTGGAGGGAGCATCAGCCTACAGCTGAGGAGGCTGGGCTGGCAATGCTGCTGGCTTCATGGGGAAGGTGTACAAAACACTTGGCCTTCAGTATCCCTCTTACTTTATGTGTGAAACACTATATTAGAAAGTGCTTTATTATCTGTCAGCGAGAATGCTCTTTCAAGTTTAAATAATTGAATTGACCTGGTTGCTTTAGGATGTCAACAGCAATTTTATTTGTGATAACTTCAAGTGCCTAATTTCAAGTATCACTTAGGTCCAAACCTGAAAACAATCAGGATGTGTCCAAAGTACTGCACTTGTTCATGGCCAGAGGCAAGTGCTGTGTTTGCTGTGAGAGCTGTGCACCTCTCCATGCAGAGGTGTAACGTTAGTGGGAGTGGTAAAGTGTTAGCTGACAAGGAGGATGCTCCCCGAGGAGTGTGGAGGAGTTTAATGGGCTCGTTCCTGCTCCACACATTCCTATTGATTATCCACTTATCGCTGGATAAAATACACAAGCTGTTCTGGAAAATAAGTTCTCTGTCCTGGTAGGAACTTGCAGAATCCCATGTCTTTTTATTCCTCACTTTCTAGCACTCTGAATGGAGAAGGCAGGTCCCCAGCTTACTGAAATCCAGCTCTGGAGTCCTAGTACTGGAACTTCAGCCTCGTAACAGAAGTCCCTTTGGACATTTGAGCAAATGCTTTCCTTTTCAAAAACAAGCCCTCATTAAAGCCTTAGGAGATTAATTAACGTGTTTCCTTAATGAAGAACTTAATTTGCTCTGTGGTTTCTTGTAGTTTGAGCCTCTGAAAAATAGAGGATGAAGAGGTTAGTTTCTGCAGCAGCTCCAGTTTACACTGAGCATTCTTGGGTGGTGGCACAGTGTGGCACAGCATATGCTGTCTAGGCTGTAGCTGCCCTGGCAGTGCAGAAGGCAGAAGCAGCTTGTCACCAGCCAAGGGAACTGATCTTGCTGTCTCCTATGAGCTTCTCTGCTTCTGTCTCCCACTCCCATCCATCTGTGTGCTGCTGCTGACACTCGTTGGATCCTCCATAAACACATTAAAATCACTAACTCAGGAGAGTACCTGGGAAGGAGGTTTTTTTTTTAACTGGGCGAGTTCCTGTTATTCTAGTGAGTTGAGATGGCTTATGTAGGGTCATATGAATTGTGGAGGCTGTGCACAGAGTAGGAGAGGAGAAGCAAGAAGGAAGATGGGAAGGGCAAACAAGCTCTCCTCTCTCCTCTCCTGACATGACAGAGAAGTCTCTGTTTCCCTTTGCTGGCTCTGATACTTGTTCCACCTTCTTGAAAGCAGACTCGACCTGTAAATCCAGCAGAGAACCAGCTAATGAGCTGAGCACTGGCGGCAGCCTAAGGGGGAGAGCAGACCAGGAGCGTGGCGGGGAGGAGAGCAGCGGGCTGGCCTGCTCCTGGGGTGGCAGCGAGCTGCTGGGCTCGCTCAGCCGCCCTGTGCAAGTGCGCCTTTCCTGAGCCGCAGCAGGGGAAGAGAGCCCAAACTATTCAACTCAACAGCCATGGTTAGCCTTATAAAGTGAATTGCAAAATGAAGCAGGAAATTGTCTGGATTCTTCCTTGTCTTCGGCATTGAGCCTGCATCTCCAGATAGTTCCATGCTTGCTAAATTTTGTCAACTCAGTCCCACCCAGCGAATACGTCTAATGGTCGGCTTTCACTTAGCGGTCGTAAAGCCACATTCTGATGTACCCGTGCCTTACTGACCATCTCATGACAAGAAATTCTTCTCGCATTTCACCAGACAGTCGGTACAAAGTCAGTTCTGAAACGAGGTTTCCTGGGGCTCCCAGAAATCTCCTCTGAATCTTTCCTAATGATTGCAAATTTATATCAGAGTTTTGGAGCAGATCTCTGAAAATCATCACAACTTCACCATGGTACCCAAGCTAATTTTCCCCTTCCCTTTCTTTCATATAGCTGCATGTAAAGCAGTGCATATTGCACTGGTAGATTAAAATCGCTCAGCTGATGTTATCACTGTGCTTTGCCTGATCCTGCTCCCAGTTTCAGGACTCAATGTATTGAAAAAGGCTGATATCAGCTGGGTTGAATGTGCTATGCTGGTAAGAAACCCATTCATGATTGGACCAGCTGTCCTTGCTTCAAGGTTCGTAGTGTTTATGGAAGAGAGGTGGCAAGCGTGTGGCGCACTAGCACTGGCAAGCATGTGGCAAAATGCAGGTGCTGAGGTGTTAGTAGGTGTTTGAGGGGGTTGCAGTGTAAGCAAAAGTTTGAGTTTCCTCTGGCAGGAGGGTCGAGGAAGATGTGAATGGAGAAAATTATCCTGAACTTACCTAAAATAAATCACAAGGAACTGTGGCAGATTTTCTTTGCTATGGAGGATCCCAGTGAAAGTAGGATGTTCTAGTCTCAGTTCTTAATGATAGCCCAGTGAGCTTCTTGAGACAAGTTGAGAAGACAGAGGCCACTGTTGATGGACAGCACTTTAAAATCTTTTTAGGTGCTGGAGAGAGATTTTGTACCTGCAGTGTTGGCACCAATATTGCATGTGTGTAAGAATATAAGATAGGGATCAGCTTTATTCAATCTAAGGTAGAGTTTAAAAGGTAAAAAGAGAAAGAATAAAAGGTAAAAAGAGAAAAGTTGATAGGAAATGGTATCCAGAGAGCTTCGGGTAGTGAGAAAATCAAAAGAAAGTTCAGTGGGGAGGAAGAGTAGGTGTTAGAAATAGGTGTTAAGACGCAGTTTTTAAATTTCATATGGCACATGTGTTAAATGTGACACAGCAGATACCATGTTTTTGTGCAAAGAGAAGGTATTTTTGTACCATCTCCTAGATCCCCTTTCTCCTTACTCTTCCTTCTGGAAGCTCCTCCAACGTAGTTTAGTGACAGATTTTTCAAACACTTTTGATAATCTTAAAGAGGACTCCCAAGCAAAGAACGTCCAAAACCTGAGCCATGTGTTGTGATTGTGTATTTGTATGGGAAGGTAGGAAAATGCAATGTAGAATCATATGCAGAGCAAGAAGAGTGTAAGGTGCTTGTACTTGAAAGAATGAAAACCTTGAGCATTTCGTTTTTGCTACGCTGGTAAGGCCAATGCAGCATTATACATCATCTGCCACCATCTAGTGTGTTTTTTTTTTGTTTGTTTTGTTTTTTCAAGACAAGAATTAAATTTTTTAAAAAAATCAATTGAGATAGTGGAATAAATCTGAGTTATGCTGTGGAAATCAAGGTTTACCCAAGGATCTTATTGTTGGTCTTACTGACCCAATTATCTTATTGTTGGTCTTGTTGTAAGAGTTTGGGATTATGGCTGAAAATGGTATGTAGAGAAGGTTAAGTGTGAGCATGTTTTTTTAACCAAAAAAAAAAAAAAGACAAAACTTACAGGCTTGAACCCATCCAGAGAAATGGTTCATCCAAAAAATACCTGAACAAGCTATAAAGCTTGGCCGAGAATGGGTTAGAAGATGCAGCATCCTTTCTTGTAGCACATCTAGATAAGCAGTGAGCGGGGCAATTAGAGAATGGAGCTGCAGTTTGAGAGGTCAGGGAGAGGTCCCTGTAGTGATACATTTGAAAATAGATTAGATAGTGCAGGGGGGCAGATAGTTTAACCTGTCCTATGTTAAGGGATTTGCACTTAATTATCTTTGGGGAGGCCGCTCAACTCCTGACATCAGGGGATGTGCTTACACTCATCTTTGTGTTGGCTGAGACCAAAGGGCTTCAAGCTGGCAATCATCCGATTAAAAATAATAATGTGATATTTCATGTGTTCTCTGATCTTTGGTAGTTTCAGGAGAGAGGCAGTTTCAAAGTTTGTTAAATTTTATCATTTACTTTCTTCTTTTTTTCGGCTAGAAATGAGCCTGTCTTGTGGTATGTGCAAAAGAATGCTGAGGATAGCGTATTAATCATGTCTTTATTTTCCCTCTCACCAGCTTGCTCCAGGCTAGTTCAATTTCTTGACAGTGCCAACATTTTATTTATATTTCTAATTCTTACAGTGTCACAAAGGCTAAGATACCTTTCCAAAACCACAAATATCATGTGAGTCCAGCAGCAGTCTTGAACATCTGTGTGTACTGACTGCTTTTATTATACTACTGTGTGACTCTGTTGCCATGAAACAGTTCTCTTATGCTAGTAAATCTCATGACTTTTGTAGCTGTTATCTCCAAAATAGCTTGTGGTGACATTTTAACCTTAAGGAAATTAAGAGACATGATTCACTAAAGCAGTGGCCAATGTCTCAGGTTTGCAGTTTTATACGGTTACAATAAGGAAAGCTATTTAGCATAAAAAGAATTAACCCTTTTATTTATTTATTTCGTGTGAAGGAAGAGATTCTTTTCTCTGCTTAATCTCCAGAACTGCACCTACGAAGTACTATAGCAAATCTTCTTTAAAATATAATGTGAAGCGAGATTATTATTTTATTAGGAGTTTCCGTTTGCTTCTAGATAAAGCAAAGAGATTTGAGCTTTATCTGTTTCAAGTTCTGACTGGAGAAGGATGTGCTTATCTTTCTGTTTGGTCAGCATGACTGCTAGTTTATGGGAGTGAAATCTGTAGTGCAGGTTGGCCTCTTGTTTATAGAAAACCATCCTGAAATTTGTTACACAACCACTGGCATACATGGAATTTGAAGTGTGATACTCACTAGCTGTGGGGCCTCTAAATGCAGTACAAGATAATACTTGGTAAAGCAAGATTTTGCAGGTACATCATTATGAAATAAGCAATAAAAATGTTCTTACTTGGTAATGAAATAGAACTTGCCATAATTCCTCTTTTTTTTTTTTTTTTTTTTTTTTTTGCTTTGCTTGAAAAAGGTATTGTGGTTGGACTATATAGTTCCCTGGTAAAAATTAATTTTGTAATATATTATCTTTTTTGAATAATAAAAAAGTGACTCTGATTTCATTTGATTTGTGATTTACTTGCAAATAATTTTCTGTAGTAATTGAAGGAAATCTCCCTCTCTGGAGATCTTCAAAATCTGCTTGGACACAATCCTGTGCCACGTGCTCTAGGTGACGCTGCGTGTGCAGGAGCGTTGGACTAGATGATCTCTAGAGATCCCTTCCAACCTTAAGCATTCTATGATTCTATGAAAGGTATCTGTATGCTTTTCTTTTATGTATTAATAAATTAATATTTCTTCATTTCTCTCTCAGATTTCCATTCTGGATGCAAAAAGAAGTATGAATATTGGGATATTTCTCAAACAATTCAAAAAGTAAGATTTGATTTTTCATACAGCTACAACTGTGTAAAATTATCTTTACTTCTCATCAGATGTGTTGTATATTGTGCAGTGTTCCTTATGGATTTTACAATTCTGTACAAGTTTGTTGTAATTTATTTTCTAATGCATTTAGTTTAGAGTGCCGTTATGCTTTAGGAGCACATATTCAGTTTGCTACTTATAACTAGTTCAAGTAAGCTTTGACTTGCTGGTTAAAGGAAGCTCTTGTATCTCATGTAATACTACGTGAGAGTTGCTTTTCACTGGCTTTCTCTCTGTATAAAGAATGGATAGTAGGGGGCAAAACTTTTTAATATTTTTTTAAGAGCACGTTGTTTCAGTACTATTTTTATTCACTGATAGTGTTACCCTCTAATAAAGACATCACTGAAAGTGGTGTCAGAATAATGCTGCTGTGGACACTGATACAGATAACCTCATTATAATTCCTTTAAGCAGCACAGACTCTTTTTTTCTCAATTTATGCAACTGCATCTATTCACCCTGCAAGTGTTAGAAATGTATATGCTCAATTGTTTTTTCAAGGTCTGCTGAATCCATCATTGAAGATATTTATCATGGAAGAAGTGAGCCCTATGGTTCTGAATTGCTGCATGAATTTCTTAAATTATTACCAGAAGCAGAGGAGGTAAATAATGGTTTTACATGGAGCTTATTTTTGTGCAGTTCTACTGCCTGGGATTCCGAGGTGAAGATCTGAAAGCAAGGAATCCCAAAGCCTTTCCGAGGTCAGGGGATAGGAAACCACAGAGTGCAAAGGTGTAGCATTCATTTTACATATGGTATTGAGGCTGCAGTGTAATCATTCCTTCACAGCAAGTAACTTTCCTTATTTTTAAGTGGCTTCTTAATGAAAGCACTGATAAGTTTTTTTTGTTTCTTTGATGACTTTTGTGAGCTTTTGTGCCATAACTTTTTCACCAGGAATTAGAACCCTCCTGGATGCTGCACAGATACCTCTGCATTGGAGGTCAGAAAACTCGGAGTCAAAGCACATCCTACTGCAGTTAGATCACATTTCACTTCTTTGGCATGTGCCTCGTGCTTCCCCATTGCAGTGCCTGCAAGCTGAGCGTTGTCAGCCCTAAGCTTCTGCCACCTCCCAGCTTCTGGCTAGCTGCCTGCTCAGCTCATCTAGGACTTGCCCACACCCGGGCTCAGCTTGTTGAGTTTCAACAGGACAGAAAAAACGAGCCACTGTGCAGCATGCACAGATTTTGTTAACGTGATTCCTGTTCCTAAAGAGGTCTGTTAGAAGGTGCAGTCACTAGCAGCACCTTGTGCCCCATCCCTGTGTCCATCATGTTCAACATGCAAGCACTGCCCCCCTCCATTCACATGATTAAGTGGGTGAAACTTCAAAGATTGGCTTGAGAGTCCTGCTTAATGGTGCACAGTTCCAGGTCTGCTGCCCTATTCGCACTGACCCATTTGTATGTACTTGAAAGAACGGTATGCCACACGCCTGGTGTAATTAGCATCAGAATTGGTTGAGTGCCTCAGATCAAAGTAGTGGCTGAAACCTGGGAAATTGCTAGTTAACGTACGCATATAGATCAGCCTTAGCTCACATGCTTTACTACTTCAAGGTCGTGCTGTCCAAGCACCCTGTTTCCTCTGCAGCAGCAAATCTTACATTCAGTGTGCAGCCAGCAGCAAAACACGTGTTCTATTATTTTCCTGTCAAACATATAAGCCTAAACAGGGTTGCTCTTGCAGGGAATCTTGTAAGAATTACTGTATGTTACTATGCTGTGTTAATAGGGTTTTTAGAGTTGGAGGATATCAGCAACTTTACTGTAATTAATCTTAAAAAAAAGTTCAACAGAGTTTTGGGTGCGCAGTCTATTCCCTGTCCTTTTTTTTTTTTTCCTTTAACCTTTGATACATATTCCTATATTTAAATAGAACTTATCTTCTTTCTCTGAAAGAATTAGATAGAGGAAAACAGCAGAAGTACTAGCTTAAGAGAAGCTGATTGCTGGTTAGTTTTGTGAATATCGAGTATTCACAGTATGCTGAGAAAAAGAAAAAAAGTGTTTTTTTTCTTCTCTTGCTCTTTCTAGTTTAGATTTTTGGTGTTATTTTAACACAAGTAGAAAAACTTTGAAGTACAGTACTCCCCTGCACAATACAAAACTTGTAAATCAGGTGGAATTGTGACATAAGCTGCTGAATATTATCTTTAGGAACATGACAGTAGTGAAAACATACCCTTCTGCTAGTTATTTGTGGGTGGTGCACGGTCTCTGAATCCACAATAGATTGTCTGGAATACTTGGCTGAGCACTTTATCTGTCCAGTTTGTGCCGCTTATATGTAAAGAAGTGGGGTTTTTTTGCAGGGAATCTTGCTGATTTGAACCAGCTCTGAAGTATCAGCTTGATGTGTATCAAACTGAAAGTAGCTGATTTGACAACAGCCCTATCCCCCAAAAGAGGGGGGCAAAGCACTTAAGAAGTGCTTTAGAGCCAGTAGAGAAATTAATTCGATGGATTTTGTGGTGGAGAGGAGTGTTAGACCTTAAAGCTTGTGATGTGGGGCTTTAATCATTAGATTTGTTGCTATTCCCAAGGGAGGGCTGGAAAGAGGCTTGTTCCCTTTGTGCAAATATTTGTATTGTATTTAGTCTCATGCTTCAGACATCTCATTACTCACCTTCAAGAAAAGGAAAGATTCCCTTTCCCCTCTATTTTTCTCTCCATAGTTATTTTACTCCTTGCAAAGTAGCTGCTTCCTTGTACCCATCTCCCAGAATTGTGTTTTGCTAAGGGGTGACATCTAAGCTGTACAGTTCCTCTTCCCAAATAAATAATCCAAGATCACTAGAGCTGGCAGATGAGGCAGGGTTGTTTGCCCTGGTGTGCCCTGTTCTGCTTACCAGCTCACAGTTTCCTTTTTTATGGTGGTCATATTGTGTGACACTGCTTTAGAGACCTGTTGTGTCATCCTCTGCTGGCCTGTCATTTGTTCTCAGCATGGACTCTCTATGCAGAGATGTCTTCTGTAGATGCATCCTCCCAATCCTTGCATAGACCTGCTTGGTTGCTGTAGGCATTTAGAAAAACCCTGGGTAGAGACTTAGGCAACCAGATCAAGAAGCTGGTTGTTCCTCAGTTACTCAGTTAGTTGTGTTTGTCCTGCCGAAGCTGTGGGTGGCCTACTGCAGCTCCCCTTTTGTGTACTCTGCATTTCAGCAGCCCGGCTATTTACAATCACATTGCCCTGTTGTCTTGCAAGTCAGAGCAAAGGGCCACCCATGAGGTGTGTGCTCCAGTAGCCGTGACTCCGGAGATGTCTTCTGCACTTCTCCTCACACAGCTGCCAGGAAAAGGAAAAGGAGGGAGGGAGGGAGGAGCACCACTGCTGCTCATAGCTGTGGACAGGGTGACTCCGGACAGTCACGTTTCTGCATTTTGACCAACAACCTTTACAGTTTATCTAGTGCGAATAAACACTGACTTTATACTCTAATCTTATCATGTTCTAGAAGAGTGGTGATATATAGCCATGTTACCTCACTATTCTCCCAGTCACCACTTTGATGTATGGGACACATTTTGCATCATTTCATGCCACATTGTATCAAGTGAATATTATCTCAAAATGGATATTCCAATGTCTTTGAGATGGAACAGTGTTTTGACAAAGGATGTGAAATGCTCAAGCTGGCGAATAAACTGAGCATCTTCTAAAATTGTTCCTTCTTGTTGCAAAATTATGTTGAGGCAACTTTGTTCACAGACAGAAATAGGTGACGGCACAAAGAATTTTCCGGCTGGTAACTGAAAGCTGTAGGGATCCTTGTACATAAGTGGTAAATATTGGCACCTTGCTGAAAGATTTTGTCAAGTTGCAAATTAGAAACCTTGTTTGAAACCTTGCGCTGTTGCAAAGTTTTTGTTTGTTTGTTTGGTTTCTTTTTTGTCAGACTGCAAATATTTGGGTGTTTTCAAACATTTGATTTGAAAACGGGTAAGTTCCTGAAGCTGGCAAACCTGGCACTTGCTGCAAGGTGCCATGTGGTGTTTTGTTCAGGATTGTGGGCGTGGTACCTTGTACCCAGGTAACTACGTTTATAAAAAGGTCCTGGAAAAAATAGAAACATGTCTTGATACTTCCAAAAAGTAAGATGAGTAATTTTGTTTAAGTCATATTTAGAAGTATTGCTCTCGGTGCCTTACTGAGAATGGCAGTTTTTAAGTGGGTAAAATGGCTCTTTGGAATCTCAGCTGCCTTTTCCTGTTACAGCCAGTTGCTTGTCCAGGGGACCTCTGTCTTGACTGCAGCCATAGCCTTTTCCACTTACATCAACTTCTGAGAAGATTCCTAGCTGAGTTTCCTAACCATGCCCTGTTAACATTTCTGACAGCCGTGATTCCTGGCATCCTGACCAAAACAGAGAGAACCTTTTTAGCTGCTTTTATGTGCACATCATTGCGCTGTTCGGCAGGTCCAGACTGGTAAAGGTTGAGAGACTCCAGTATTTAACAATCTAGAATAGCCAGAATCTGTACTTTGAATATATACTGAGAAAAGCATATCATACTGCTAATCAACTCACCCACACACATGCTCACTCGGGTTATCAACATCTTGTCTTACCTCCTTTATAGTGTCTGAAGCCCACGTTATCAACATCTTGTCCTGCCGCCTTTGTAGTGTCTCAAGCCTGTCCTTTGCTCTTGTACTGTTTTAAAACCCAGTCCTCTTTACCCTGCTTTGCTGGGATGTTTCTGTCAGCTCCGCTCTTTTTAAACCTCTTTCACATATTACTCTGCTCCTGTCTTCCTCCAGTGCTGAATCTGTCTGACCACCCTCCAGAGTTTTAAGCTCCTGCTTCCTTTCTCAATCCTTATGTTAGCTATGTTTTTCTTCCTCCTTTTCGCCTCATGGTCCGGTGATAGAGGTTTACCAGTGCCCAGGCCTGTGCCTCGTGGTGTCTCTGTACCTAATGTGATAGCTGTTTGTCCATGAGCTCTTGTTTTGGAATGACAGTGTAATGATTTTGGAGGGGGCTGATAGTTTTCACTTGGGTTTTTCCTTAGTAACCTGAATGTTTGCAATCATCTGGAGGAAAAAAAAAAGTTTATTTTTCTGAACTACTGTACTTGGCTATCTTTATTTATTTGTAATGTAGGAAGGATGATCAGGGGCCTGGAACATCTGCCCTATGAGGAGACGTTGAGGGAGCTGGGCCTGTTCAGCCTGGAGAAGAGAAGGCTGAGAGGGGATCTAATCAGTGTATATAAGTACCTCAAGGGAGGCAGTGAGGAGGATGGTGCTGGCCTCTTTTCAGTGGTGGCCACCGACAGAACTAGAGGAAACAGCCAGAAACTAAAGCATCAAAAGTTCCACAGGAACTTAAGGAAAAAATTTTTTAACAGTGAGGGTGCCAGAGCCCTGGAACAGGCTGCCCAGAGAGGTTGTGGAGTCTCCTTCTCTGGAGATCTTCAAAACCCGCTTGGACGCAGTCCTGTGCCACGTGCTCTAGGTGACCCTGCGTGTGCAGGGGGCTGGACTACATGACCTCTAGAGGTCCCTTCCAACCTTAAGCATTCTATGGTCCTATGATTCTATGAATTACTTGATGCACAAAAGAGCATGAGAGGAACACTGATTTATAATTTCCTTCAAAGATTCTGGATTTTCATTTAAAAGAGCAACATATCTCTTTTATGCCATAAAGTAAAATCAAACTACTTGTACAAAAAAGTGCTGCTGACAGCTCAAAAATATCTGAGAAACTAAGTGGCTGAAATGCAGTAGCTTTCCTGTCTGTGAGAAATAATGGTGAGTTTACAACAAGTGTATCTACTCCAATTGTTCACAAATCAAATCAAAGATTGGGCTTCTGATTTTCGAATACTGTTTCAAAACTGCTTTTAAAATGAAACCAACTTACAGATGTGAGAACATCCTGTATCTAAAATCTGATTTTGTTTTCATGGGCATGCATGGAGGTTGCAAATATATATTCTATGTACAAATATAATGAAGAATTTTATTAGTAGCTCTGTGGCCAATTTGAGTAATACAGAACTTAGCCTATAGTGTAATTACGCTTCCTTGTGTGTATACGTTACTTAGCTGTAACGTATCTCATTGCATGGTTGTATACTGTTGTGGAAAATTATTTTGTTGTGCTTGGAGAGAGGCAGTCAAGGCCAGTTACTCACTGTGATTTAAAAATAACCCCCATTTTTAGCTCTTTTGTGTTCTCAAGCTAATTATAAACCTGTCTACTATATCTGTTATCATGATTAATAGCGAACCTTTACAGTCTGCATATTTTTTAGCAGTCCTCAGTACATCTGTGTTTGGTGTTTTAGTCAGATTCTCGCGTCTAGGAGCTGCAGGGGCATCTTGGTCCCCTTTGGAGGCATTGGCCAACGTGGCTGCAGGAAGAAGAGGCGGCCTTGTGGCATTTGAGTTAGCCTCACTTGGAGCCGAGGGGCAACTCTCCAGGATGGGGTGAGGAGTTTTAGATTTGGGATTCAGAAGGCATTATTTTAGGTTACAGGTAGTATGAATTAAATCGTATAATTTTTCCTTTTCTGTTCATGATGAGATGACTGTTCTCTTTGAATCATGACATTTGTAATAAGGAGAGAATATACATAAAACTGTTGCCTTAGCTCTGCCTAAGCTGTTCCCTGGACTATTTACAGCTTTAAGATGAAGTTAATAGGAGATTTGGTCTCTGACCTGGAAGATTGAGACATATATGGAGAATCAGGCTATGCAGTGTGAAATTGAAGATTGAAAGGACCTTGCAACTCTTCTCTGTTTGATTTGTGTATTTGTGGCCTGGATCACTCTGATTTGCCTTTCTTGGGTGTTTTTTAGGCATGAGTCTTTTGCTGCACCTTGGAGAAGTGCAGTTTCAGATATCTAGGGCAAGGATGTTGAGTGTAAGGTGGGCGATATGGGCTGGGAAAGGTGTTACCAGGCTCTTGTGAGCGGCACTTTACATTTCATAACTGACTACACTGTCTTTTGGGTGTATTTTAGTGCCCCACATACTGCACTGTGTCATCCTACCCCATCTTGTCTGCCAGAAGGCTACTTGGTGAGTGTCTTCAGTAGTGTTTGCATAGGGAAACTCCTTCCCTGGTTGAATTTTTGGGATTTAGTACTGTCTTGTACTCCTCTGGGCATTTTTTCTGATATAGCATGGTAGAAGAAAAAGGATTTCATCCAGTGTCCGCAAACAAAGATCACTTTGCAGCACTAACATTCCACCTAGAGAGCAGTGATTACTGCCTACTGTCACAGCTGAGTAGTTAAGGACACGTGGTATGAATAAATTAATGTTCCCGTGAGCTTCTCAGCTCTTGCTGTTTAGCCGTTGTGCATTTGAATCTTAAAATTGCACTTTACTGTGATTTGGGGAACTCGACTTTTTCTATTTTTTTTTTTTTTAGTTTTTCTTAAAATCTGAGTACCTGTCTCCTTTTCAAGCAAGCTTTGAGATCTGCAACTTACTATAATAAGATGGAAGAATTTGCAGTATTTGGTGTTTTTTTTTTTTTTTTTTTGGTGTAGACCACCATTTTTTGGAAGTTAGGTTAAAGGAACCACCTGCAAAGACTGACTGAGCCAGTAGATATTTCCCACCTCCACTTCATGATATGGGGAAAAAGTGTTTATTTTGGTTTGTTTCTTGCTTGTTTAGCACCTGAGAAGTATCAGGAGTGTCAAGTCTGGTCTTTCCTGTTCTTTGTTGGCAGACTTCTTGGATGACTTTGTAAATTAGGAGTTTTCTCAGGCCATAAAAAAGTGAGCATGCAGTTTGTCTTTAGATGAAGCTCTCCTCCAAATATCTGGAGTTAAATGGGGGGGTTAAGAAATGGAGTTAGATAGTCTAAATAAAAATTGTTCTGTTAATTAGAATTGTCTTTCTATGTCATAATACTTTTGTTTTCAAATAAAAATCTTTAACTTTTAATTTTCTTTGATTTAAAATGTTTTATTTTTAAAACTGGAAGGTGTTGTTCTTCTGGATTTAATCTGCACTTTAGATTTCTCTTTCTTTCTTAAAATGTGCTCTCAACACTTCAATTTTTTATAGTGTGGGGAAAGAATGGGAATAAAGCAGAACAAATCTGTTAAGACTCTTTTTTTCTGCTAGATCAGATTATTTTTTTCAGTTCCCAACTTAACAAAGCCTGTATTATCTTCCACTATAAATCAATGTTACTTTTTTTTTTTTTTAACTGCAAATACAGAAAAGTAACTTAAGTGATGAATTTGGAATCTGACGTTTTAAAAGGCTTGTGGATATCTGGTAAATCAGGGTGGCCTGAAAATTGCTGACACTACGATATGAGGTCTCTTTCCAGGACAGCTTCGCATACTTTCTAAGGCTGAAGACCAGCTATATAAATGTGCTTATGAATGGGCTCTAAGTGTAACGTTGTAGAAGGGGATGATGATGGGCAAGTGTGTAAATCCGTGTTTGGGGAAATGTACAAGTGATGTTGTATGTGAAATTGCTGGTGGAATGAAGAAATAGTGTAATTGGGAGCAGGCTTTGCTTTTGGATGTGATTGCTGTATTGGAAAATGTGGAAGAAATTCCAGTTATGCTTAAACATGTGTGCATATATTTTCCAGTTTTTCCATATAAATAAATAGCAAGTATGTGGGCAGATCAGTGGCTTCAAGGCCATGCAAATATATGGATTTTGGTGGAGCTGGGAAGGGAGATACACAAAACAAATGCAGTGATATTTCCTTTTCATGTAAATGGCATTCTCACAGTACTGGCCACAAATAACTTGAAAATGCCACCTTGCTTTTTTCTTTAAAGTATTTGATATGAGTGAAAATTTTAAACTCAAGATCAAATTTTACCACTTACAAGACATTTAGAGGAAACAGTTGAAGCAAGTTTCTGAAAAAAATGTAAATTAAACTTTAGTGACATTGTGCCAAAGAACTGGAGGAGTCCTATGAAATCCCGAACACAGTTGTACTCTCAGTATAATGCGCTTGTTGAAAAATCGAGTATCATTTTTCTGATCATCACATAAGCAGCCATTGTGCATTGGACAAAAATGTCTAGAGAATGCCAAGTGGAGCAATCAGAAGAGCTAATTCTTCCAGGGAAACTGGAGTAGTGTTTTTTTTATTTTATTTTTTTTTCACTGGAGGAGGGTGAGCATGAGGGCCTAGTTGGGGAAGTAGAGGAGGTACAGGGTGATGATGCCACCATGTTTTTATCTGGGTTTCCTCACTAGGTTTTTGGGAGCAATGGTGATGTTACCAGTTTTATTTTCTTTCAACGGGGTATATGCAGCTTACAGAAGCTTGGGCAGCAAAACCATTCAGTCAGTCACTGAGCAGCCACTTTAATTCCTCCTGTTAAATTGACTGCTTTGGAAGGTGTTTCCTTCCAAAGTCAGGTTAATCCTGATCTTTGATAAAGTTCTTTGCTAAGTCTTTTTCTTTTTTTCTAGATAAAGAAATTTAAAGCCTTTGATGGAGATGTATCAAAACTGTCTCAAGCAGATTCCTTCATGTATTTACTCATCCAGGTGCCAAAGTAAGAGATAATAGGTTTATTCTGTTCATGAAAAACATTCTGTTTTGGCTCTCAGTTCTAAGCCTGTTTGTGTGCTCCAGTTATACTCTTAGGATCGAAGCCATGGTGCTAGAGAGGGAGTTCTCACCCTCCTGTGCTTCGCTACAAGATGACATGAAAATTATAAGACGGGCAACAAAAGGTAATTAAACATGTTGGGACATGCATAATACTCTTGTTTTTGTTAGCATGTTAATTAGTCTGCATTATGAAGGCTAGAGCTTGAATTTCAGGTACCTAGTATCTATTAAAAGGAAGCTAACTCCCCTCTGACAAATCCCCATCAGGGTGTGCCTGGTGAATCTTTGCTTTGCTTCCACAATCAAAAACCTAGAGGCTTTGGACGCACTGGCAGTGGGTTCATGACCAGAGCCTACAAGCTGCGCAGCCCAGTCTGACAAAAGCAAAAGTGTCCATGGCCAAAAGTGGACAAATCTTTGTCTTTCGAGTGCAGTTTGCTCATTCATGCATCACTGCGAGTCTTACTTTGTTATACCATTTTGCTCACCCTTTCAAGGTTCCATGGAGAAAATCCCTGGATACTTTCTGAATTTCCACATGGCTACCTTTTGAGGCTGCAGTATTAGTGAGCTAAAATCTTTATTGTAGAGGCTAGTTCTATTACCATTCCTTTGCCTCTTGAACACCCCTTTTCTCCATTGTCCTAGATTTGAAATGTTGCAGCTGGCTATTCTTAACGTTATCCGATGTCTACTGCTCTGCAGGAAAATAATTAATTTCCTCATTTCATTTAAATATTAATGCTGACCTTTTCAAATCCCTTCAGTGACTATATGTACTGTTTCTCAGTATGAAAACTCCCATTTCATACCAGTAAATTTTATGAACAACTACTGGGGCACTGTCTAGACTGCTTCCAGTGGGATAAAAGGGCACAGTACTAAGAATATTCAGTTATGAGCACTAATGCTTAGGATAGTCATTTTGGTGAAAGTAAAAAGGGAATAAAGCTTGACATGTTCTTCCCAACAGTGAGTTTTGAACTGGCCCTCCCTGACTCAGAAAAATGTCCATCTACTTAAGCTAAGTTTTGAGTTTGGCCTTTTATTGGAGCTCTTCCAAATCGCTGTTCTATGTGTTTCGGGCAATGGATGTAGTGAGTGAATGGGTTGTGTGTAGAAGCAGCCATGCACAGTTGTCCTCCATGCCCTTCACCCAGCACTGGTGACCCGGTGAGCTGGTTACTTCCAGAGGAGGTGCTTGTGTCTCCAGGTCGTGCATCAGGCCTGTCATGCAAATCAGACTGACTGAACCTCCCTGTTTTCAGTCCACTTGTGCTGGTCTCCATTTGGTCTCTTCAGGGCTTGTTGATTGCCACAAGTTGTTTAGGAATTACGCCTACTTTTCTTTTCCATTCTCCCAGGTTTCTTTCCTTGTAATTAGGCTAAGAGAATATTTACTTAAATCCTGACACTGATAATCACTAAGGGTTAGGATGGTTTAAATACCATGATGGATTCCATCTAGCCTGCAAATGGATGTATCTCATAGGGATGCTGAGCAGGCTCTTACTGCACAAAGCCTTTAGATGTTGCCTTCTCTTCTTGGCTTTGTGAAATCAGGTACTTTCTTTTGTATTCTCTCCTCTTCCTCCTTGCTTCCTCATCTGTAGCTTATTAGATGAAAGGCTATTTAATTAGATAAAAGTTTTTAGGCCAGTAATACTGAAACCCAAAGGCACAAAGGCTGCTTCTAAAACGATAGATTATTGAATTATACTAACAGTTAAATGGTGGGTAAATTATAGAATGTGGACTTGGAAGCAAAATAATTTTAGAAGTATTTATATTGAAATAAATAACATTTTAAGGAATCCACCTTTTATTTTCATTAGTGTAAAATACAGTACCTTACATTAGAAGCAATTTGTGTTATTTTTCTTTCCATATGGGCTCTTGCAAATTTGCAGTTTAGTAGGCAATGCCACTTGTGCTAAACTTAGCATTTGTATTAATGCTAATTTATTAACTCCTTACAAGTCTAGCTTTCTATATCTCATTGCTAAGGGACTTGTCCTGGTAACTTTCGACCATGTGTATTGTTTTGTGCTCATGAATGACAGACTGAAAAGGCATATGGATTCAGACAAAGTATTGTTGGGCATTTTGCAAAAACAGAATATGTAGGAAAGAGGTTTCTGTGGTAGAAAAACTTTAAGGGCAACTTTATTCCATCTAACTCTTTGCAGCACACCAAATACAGTTTTGTGCTAAATCATCTATGTTGTGACCGAGGTAAATGCCACTCTGAGGTGATAACTATATAGAAATAAAATGTTGATTTACAGAGGGAATGGGATAAGCAAGGAAAAATTAAACATTGCATGATATCTTTTCAGGCCTGATGGCTAAGTCTCCCTATAAAAGTTATTGTTAAAAAGTGCAATTGTGGAAGATGAGAAAGGGATCCTGCCAAGTGCAGAACATTTGCTTCTCATGGGAATTTATAGGTAGTGAGGATGCTTGACCACTTACCTGAGACATTTTCAGTATTGCAGGATTAGACCCCAAGTGTTTCATGAGCTATTGGGAGTTGCCTTGGAAATACTGTGATTGCCATGCTCAAGTCTGAACATATGCCTGGGGTTTGCTAGCTGTGTTTGTGACTTCAAATTATGTAGTACTATTTTTTCCCCATGATCTTTCAGTTTATTGTATTTTCCTGTTAAAATAAAAATCCTCACCATTAAAAGCTTGAGTTGAAATGGGAATTTGGTAACTACTGTTTATTCCTAAACCAACCAGCAATTTTCTGTTCCTTACAGAGTTAATGACTTGTGAGGAACTGCATTCCATATTACACTTGGTCCTCCAGGCTGGGAATATTATGAATGCGGTAAGTGCCCAAAGCAGAGGTGGCCAATGGACCAAATTTCATTCTTAGCACGGAGGTGCGCTGGTGTCATGTGCCTTAGCTGTTTGCTTGTTCCTTTTTAGGGAGGTTATGCTGGCAATGCTGTCGGATTTAAACTGTCATCACTGCTCAAACTGGCGGACACAAAAGCAAACAAACCTGGGATGAGTCTGCTGCATTTTGTTGCTCTGGTATATAAGAACTGTTTATAAAAATGCATGCAGATTTTTGAGTTAATTTTTCACTCCTTTCAATCTTCTTGATTTAAGGAGGGAGAAGATTTAAATACTTCCCTATGTGACTTGGGTTATCTGTGTACAAACTGGCTTAAGGGATTTCCAGTCAGCGAACAATGGGGTTGGGTGGGAAAGCCTGGATTTGCCCAAACAACAGCCATCAGTAAATTGTTCCAAACCAGCCCTATTAATACATGTGGCTTTTGTTCACTGGCCGCTATTGTGCACTGTAAAATGGAAGCTGTTGCTTCAAGTTGCTACTTCTGATCCCTGTCTTTTGTTAAGGGGAGGTATCAGGATTGAACTGAAAGAAAAACAGTGCAAGAGAGAAAATTTTAAGTGCCCTCTCAAAAGCTTTAGAGCTGCTTGACCTACATGCTTTACCAAGGTAATGGAATGTTAATGGTTTGTGTTTGGTTTTTGTTTGTTGTTCTGTTTGTTTCAGGAAGCCCACAAGAAAGATGCTGCTCTTCTCAACTTTTCAGAGAAAATTAAAGATGTTCATGATGCTGCCAGGTAAGCCAGGAAAACAGATCTTATAATTGGACTATGATTTGGTAATTTCTTACTTGTGAAGTTTTGTAGTTCATTCACAGAAGTCTTGGCATGAAAACTGAGATCATTACAAATGTTTACTGTAGCTTTGAGGACTTCATTTTCATTTGCGAGCAGAAGTATGCCTGCAATGTGCCTTTGGGTATGAAGGTTTTTATGATATGATCTCCATAGTGTTTTTCTTTTGTTGTTTTTTTTTTTAATTTTACTTCTGCCAACTATATATGTTGCTTTTAAGAGGTCAAATGAAAAGCACGTTACTAGTTTTCCTTAAAACAAATTTCAGGTATGTCTGAACTGGCTGCAATACTTTTTCCATGTGTGGTACCAGATACAGGTGCTGACCTGGGCTCTGTTAGATGCTTCTTGACATTTGGTTTGCCTCTCTGTTTCTGTCGTGGAGAGCACCTCACTTGTAGCACTTCTCTTTCCTGGATATAATTTTATGAGCCATTCAAAATAGTGGACTTCAGCATTCTGTGTCAGGTGAACTTATCACAGACCTGAGTGAACACTTCTGCATCCTGCGAATGAATGTTCTGGTTCTGGCATGTTTATTCAACTAAAAGGAAAGCCTGAGGGGTTTGGGGTTCTGTGATGTTTTTATCTTAAGGTCTTCAGCTACATAATTTTAAACAGAACCTGGTTCATACCTTGATAACTTTACTTGTTCCTTTGAGATGGGGCAGTCTGAAGCATGGAACTGGAAGCTGGTGATCCTGCAGTTCTGATGCCAGTTCTGCTACTTCCTTGTTCTTGAGCTTTGGGCAACCGATTTACATTGTTTTCCATGCTGTAAAATGGATCCAATCTCTTAGATCTGATGCAGGATTAAGTAATGTCTGCAAAGGGCTCTGAAATCTTCAGAGGGAAGGAGTGGTCATAGAGTTAATCAGAACATTTTTGATGGACCACCTGTGTGGCTTTCTGCCACGCAACCCACACAGCTCCCTGGCTGTTGGCCTACACAGCTTCCTTCGGCATCCAAGCCCCCTGGCAAACAGCAGGGAAGCAGGCACAATCTCTAGTCCTGTGAAGTTTTTTTTCTAGCCACTTTGTTCTTTGATCTCATTTGTTAAGACAGAAAAATTTGAACTGAACTCAGACTGAAATCTATACGGACAGTGTACTCTGAGATTTTGTAGGAAAGAGACAGTTTTCTACACCTGCTGAGTTCACAGCGCAACCTTTTCAGCATGCTTGAAGGGGAAAATGAAACACAACCACGTACCTGTATTACTTTGGGGCATGAGGAAGATCTTTATTAGAGAAAACTGTCATGTACAAGTTGCTCATAAATTTTTCCATGTTAGAGCATTAGAGCATGTTAGAACAACTGCTGTTATGTTCTTTTTTTTTTATCACCTTGCCTTCTTTTCTTGTAGTCCATCCTCCTCCAGGCAGGAAAATATAGCCTATAGCATGTGCTGCTTTCTTCATTTGTGAAAACATTTATGATCTGCCCAGAAAAGGGAATTGACTTTGGAGGTGAAGTAAGCAGGCAAAGTGCAGCATACTTTTTATTCACTTGTGCTTTCACTGGCACACACATGCACTGACCCCATCCTCGACTATATGCACCTCAGTTGATCTCCTGCAAATTCTGCAGCTTTCCTGGTTTAAAGCCATGCTGCTGATGAAATGTTCCTATATAGAGAACATATGTAGTTGTTACCTGCTTAGGCTACTTAGAAGCAGTTTTGCAGTGCCGAATGCTACTGCTGATATGGGCAATCCTAGCTGGCTCCCTTCTGTGCTAGCTCTGAGCTGGACCAACCAAACGATCCAAAAATAAAAATTTGGCAGCAAATTCTTTTGTTGTTGTTGTCTTTTCCCCTTTTGCTGGGTTATTGCTCAGTTCCCAAATGTGGCTCACATTTAGAACATGTATGCGAGCACGGGCACCGAGGGAAGAAAGGGAACACGTGGTCAGAGACAAGATGGTGTTAAGGCTGAGTAAGGCTGGCTTGAGTTAATTGTGAAACCGCACCCCGTGGGAATCTTTTCAGGTTGCAAATAAGGAGAAATGTGCTTATCTCTCTGCTCGCTTCCAGTTTCTACTCTGGGAAGATTTCCTCAACAGGCAGGTCTTGTTTGATAGCCAGCTTGCACCTCACATTAAACGTATATTTCTGAAGGATATTGTGGCTAACCTATAGGCAACTCCTTCCCCTCAACAAACATTCTCTGTATATGCTGTCTTTTAGGTTGTCCATTGATAATATTGAAGCAGAACTCCACTCGTTGTCTTTCAAGGCAAGATCTGTTAAGGACAGCATTCGTCGAGATGCCAGGCTCTTTCACCAGATGGAAAGCTTTCTCCAGGTTTGTACAGTATCCGAGCTATGGGGTTCCTGGCACCTGAATCCAGGAGCATTCCTCAGCTGGATGCAATATGTGTGGACACGTTACTAAGCAGAGGCATTGTGTTAATGTGTCTACGCTATCAATTGTACAAGGCATTTCAGCTACATGCTGTTTGTCAAGTAAGAGTGTTGGAAGGACTGTTTTTACAGGGAGGGATATTGAGTGTACATTGCCTGAGGGTTGTTAGGCAAGCATGCTTAATGTCTGCGAAATGACTGATGAAGATTAGTAGTTAAAATACAAGATTATTTGGACTGGTCTCTGGTTTTGTACTTAACATGCAGATAACATATTTTGGGCAGCTGTGCTATTGCAGTGGAGCATGTCAGCTTTAGCTGTGACTATGCTATGCATATAAATCCTGATTGCTGGGTGGCTGGAGAGGTATTGTTAGAGTGTCATGCATTAAGGAATGGCTTTCTGTACTAATTTACCCTTAGCACAGATGATATTATTTTGAGAGTGTGTTATTTTGTATTATTGCTGGTGGGTGGGTTCTCCTGGTGGGTATTCTAGGTGGGTTCTCCTTTTCCTTTGTCATATTCCAGCAGCTTTTATAGATACTGATGTGATGTGAATGCTTAGCTTTGAAGCGGAGTCCTTAATGTTCTCTGAGTATGCAGTGATACCTGGAGAAATAAGTATCATACTCCAATTAAATGATTTTTTCTGTTTCACACTATAGATAATTACCAAAAGTAAAAAAGCAGATGTTGATCTGAAAATTCACCTGCCCTGATTTTCAACTTACATAATTAATAGTCCCTGCAGTTTTTCAGAAGATGTGAAGCTAATGAAGAAAGGGGCAGACTATGGTTGAAATAGCTGTCCTCATTCACTCTGAGTTATTGGCTTTTATCCTTTGCATCCAGACTCCTTAGTGTCATGTTTTCACATGTTCAGAATTCTTTTTTCTTTAATTTAATAGATGGTTTTATGTAACTTTACAACCTTGTTTAGGCCACATTCCAAAAGAAATGTTTGAAAAAATCATTTTACAAATACATACCTTACATAAACACTTCCGGTTTTTGTTTTTAAATTACAAGTGATAGCCAAGATGATTAAAAGTCAGCTTCCATTATCTCATCCTCATGAATAAATTACTGAAATATGTGGGAGGAACTAATTTTCCGTGTGTTTTGTCAATTGTCCAGTTTATCGCACTTCATCTTTAACCCATCCTCTTTTTTATGGCTAACAGGTAAAGATTTTTGCCTACTCTACTGGCATAACTTAACAAGTAACTTAATTGCAGCAAGGTTGGCTTAAATAATTGTCAGTGCCTCCAACTGCCTTTTTCCCACCCTTGCGCTGTGCAGCAAAAGTATTTAGGTGTCTGTTGGACAGAGAGCATCAGAGAACAGATTTTTCTGGAAGTAACTCTTCTCTCCAGATTATTTTCAGCCAGATGCGTTCCGAGGTGTGGACTAGTGCTAGGATTGGAGCGAATGGCTGGACATGCAGATAGAGGGGCAATTGCTGAAACTGTTTTAAGCAGTTGTGTTTCTGAAAGTCTAACTACAGCCTTACCCTCTTCCTCTTGAATCTTTTTCCACAAACCTGCTCCAGTCCTCTTTGGGCTGCACTTATTATTCAAAGTACTATTCTATAGGGATATTTTCTGGATGTTTTAAGAAGAATATATTTTTAACATTTCCTTATCTGGCATGAAAACCTTCCTTGTCATGGTCTAGGGTAAACTGAGGAAGGAGTTGGTTGTGTCATGTTTATCCATGATTTTTTTTCCATATTTCTTTTTTTTTCTCTCATTTTATTCATCTAAAGGTTAAAATTTAAGTCTCATCAAGTTTGGTTTTATTTGTTTGGTTGGTTTTGTTTTCCCAGTTTGCATCCCAGTCACTGGAATTTAAATTTAGATTAATCTGTTTTTCATGACCTTCCTTTCTCACTTTCTGAAATGACAAGAGCTTCCTTCTGCCTTCCAAGTCCTGAGGTCCCTGTTCTGTAGCAGGTTCTAGGTTGGAACGTGGATTTCATTGGTTCCTAAAATATGTAATATTTACTCAGGTCTTTAAATTGTATGTCTGAGTCGTGGCATATATGTTTTCCTGCAGTTTGCTCTAAGACATCTAAAGGAGCTTGAACACCAGAAACGAGAATTACAGAAAGAGGGGAATGCTCTTATTGACTTCTTCTGTGAAGACAAAGAAACGATGAAGTTGGATGAATGTTTTCAGATATTTAGGGACTTCTGCATAAGGTTCGACAAGGCTGTTAAGGTAAGAGCAGTGAATGAGTTTCTATTTATTTGAAATAAATACTGACTCATCTTGTAATTAAGTTATTGTTTCCTGCTTACTGGCCATTTTACTTGTTACAATATTTGCTGAAATGGACAAGCTGGCCTCCTACAGGCACTTCTTGTCACAAGCCAACTATGAAATGGTCTTTCCACCCAGCGCCATGTGCCAGTCATCAACTTTCCCCACAGCCCTGGGCTGCTGCTGCAGGCCAGCACGCTGTTGTGGGGACATGCCAGGCTGGGCCGCAGCAGCTGGGGCTCCCTAACGCCCCGTGACTAGATGCTTTTGACAAGTTAAGAAATAATTGTAGCTTTCACTTTGCCCTTTCAAATCCTTTTTTTTGTGGGCTAAGAACTCACAAGAGACAACAAGCCTATAGTACAGAGATACCTCATCCCTGGTGTGACTGCTCTGTTACCAAGTACCCTGATGTGACCCCAAATCATTCTGAAAATGTCATGCTAGAGATGATCGTAGGCCAGGAGCACTTTCAGCATCAACAGGAGACTGGTTTCAGGGAAGTTTGCCTATGGTTATGTAATTTTAAGGCCTTTATCAATGAATTAGATGGACCCACAAATTTCTTTCTGCCTTTTGCGTTTGGCAGCACTGTTATGTAAAAGCCTTAGCTAGGCAAAGAGAGAACAGTGTTGCTGGGCAGCAGGCTACAGGCAATTCAGCTGACACACTGTAGTGCCCCTGGCTTGTCTAAGCTTTGCACCCAAGGCATAATGTAGGTAGGCATGTATGTCAGTGTCAGCAAACACATGCAACCACCTGGTGAGAACTATTGCAAATACTGTAATGCGAGGTGACTTGGTGCGCATGTGAAGTGTATGTTGAGTTATTTGTTTATATTCTGCAATTACTCTGAAGCGCAGTAGACATCTTCCTTCCTCTCTCAGTCTAACAATCATAAATTAGACTCTCACTTGCTAATATTAACACCTTCTTATTGCATACTTTTTATGGACTTATCTCTGTCCCCATAACAGTAACAGAACAATTCAGAATAAAGATTGTGACAAAGGTAACATATTAACAGTCAGCAATCTAAAAAGCTACCTATACCACAATGGTGACTTTATATAATTCAAATATTTAAACCTTTTTTTTTTCAATTTTTAGCATGTTTGTGTATTTAAAATAGTTTTTTTCCTTTAATCAAAATCTCCAGAAAAATGTTTGGGTAAAGTTAGAATATTCAGTCTCTAATACAGTGATTAGTAATATCTACAGCTATTTTTAACTGGGTCTTTTTACGGAGGAGTATTTAAAGTTGAGCTTTGGCATTTGGCGAGAATAGATTCTGTAGTTCCATTCTGGTAGGGAAAAACAAACAAAGAAAAAAGACAAACAAAAAACACTGCAGCTCTGAACTTTTTTTTTCCCGGAGTGTGAGATTTTCTTCTTTTTTTTTTTTTTTTTCCTCTCTGTTCAGGTCTGGAGGTCTCTAATGCTTCTTAAATTTCACAGCCCAATATAGTCTGGAAACCTCTCTCAGAGGTATAGATTAACTCGTTCTTCAAAGAGAGTAGTGGCATTAGGCTGTTTTGCTAACTGAAAGCTTTCAGGAGACACTTCTAGTTGTGCAGCTCTTCTGTTGTCACAACAACAGGAAGATCAAACTACACAAAGCTGGAGACAAATGGAGGTTTTTTTCTCTTAGGTGTGTGTCGTATAGGCTTGCTGGGAACAGAATTAACAAGGCTGAAGGAATATTATGTAATTTCTCAATCCTCTGTCAAGACTACCCCTCCCCTTCTTTCTTTTTCTGCAGCTGTACTGATTCTAGAAAACCAGGTTCTGCATTTCAGAAAATAACCTGGAAAGTTCAACTGAAGGTTCAGCTAGATTAAATCTGAAGCCTAGAGGTGACAGTTGAAATGTTGATGTTCTTAGTAATTCATTGCCAATGGCTTTAATAGAAATGTATTATTGTGTTGTTTTTCAAACACAAACTGTCTCTTTCTATGGCTTCCTGAATCAAAACCCCTCAACCCAGCTGCCAAAATCTCAGCCTGCCCTGGGCAACTCTTATGGAGTAGTTGCCAGTTTTTGAGGCCAACAACAAATAAGAAATCCAAAACTTGAATTGAGGTATCGATTAACGGTCCTTGTAAGGTGGCAGATGATGACAAATTGTTCATGAGGCATTGTGCCAACTTCTGTTACTTGCTTTCATGTCCAATTAAGTGGTATATTTTCCTCAGTTTGCCAATCCCCCGTGTTCGAGTTGAAGGCAGGTATCTCCCTGCAGCAGCTCAGCTTGCTAAGGAGCAGGTGCAATTATTGCAGTAATGGAGGATGGAATGACTATATTGGCTGTATGCTCATCAAGCAGGTTTGCCTTAAAGGATGAATGTAGTATTCAGTGGAAGTTTGCTCACCAGAGAAAACTGCTCGTTTTAAACCTGTTGGGGAGGGTGACTTGAAACTCTGCATCTTGCTGCAAGGACTCCTTGAATGGACTTGAAATCTAAGTGTGTTCCAAAGGTCATGTTCTTGCTCTCTGCAAGGACTTGTGTATATTTTTAGTACTTCTTATGCTGACCAGATTTACATCCCTGCTGTATTAGTTGTGCAGGGAGCTGCTTTCCATATAGTTAATGGTTGCGGAATATATGTTGCCATGGTGATTCATGATTCTGTGTGTGTGTGTGTATTTTTCGGAGGGATGGTGAAATGACAGGATGGCCTGGGAGGCAAAAAAAATGGGAAAGAAAGATTTATGTAAGATTGTTTTCGTGCATAGGACACTGTCGACTGAAATACATATTTACGCTTTTCCACCTTAGGAAAACAGGGAACGAGAGATCCAGGAGCTTCATCACCTGCAAAGACGGAAGGAGCTGGAGGAGAAGCGTCGATCCTGGGCAGCTGGAGAGCTTGGGAGCTTTGGACGAAGCAGCAGTGAAAATGATGTCGAGATGTTGGCCAAAAAAGGACTTGAAGAATTTCTTCCTTTCTTGCAGCAGAGGCCTCAAAGTCCTTCATACAGAAACCCCAACTCCAGACGCTCTCGACTTTCTCTAGGGATTACTGCAGACAGGGAACTGCAGAGTTTCCTGGAGATCTCAAAGGATGAGGATCCAAACAAGTTTAACAGCCTTCCCCGTGCAAACACTCGACAACCAAGACCCAGTGTAGCCTGGACTGAATCCAAAGAAAGTACAGATCTCAATTTAAATACTTTGCACTTAAACCAGCAGTCAGAAACCAAAGTGCAAAGTGGTGACCTACTGCATTTGCCTTCAGCTCAGTCTAGTCACTTTGGTGGTTTGGCTGGTCCTGGTGCCCGATACTCACAAAGGAGCCCCAGCTACAGCGTGCGTGCTTCCAGTGCCTCTTGTGAGGAATCCCCAGATATAAATGCTCTGGCCCTTGCGATTAAGGAACATGAGCTTGTTAAAGGATTGCATAAGTTCAATATTCAAGGCACTAAGCCTGCAGAAGACACACCTTTAATTTATTTAGAGGATGCTGGTGGAGCAGATTTGGAGACCCTGGATGACCTAAGCTTGCATTCCGTTAGCACAGCTGATGAGGAGCTGCCTCCAACTTGCAGAAGTTCCAGGGAGGCCCATGACCAGAAAGGCAAGGCAGGGGGCTGCAAGAGTGAAGCTTCAGAGCCCAGCAGCAGCAGCCCCATGTCTGTGGATACCAGTGTTTCTGGAAGTAGAGAAGATGGGCCCATGTTCTATGTGTCAGATACTACCACTGACTGTTCTTTGACCCTGGATTCTTCAGAGGGAAATGATTTTAAATTGACAGGCAATGAAATAAAGAATAAGACTGGCAAAGCACGTTCTTCTATGAACGATGCTCAGTATGGGTCTAGAACACCCTTCTCAAACTTGAATTCTGCCTCTGTGAGGGATCTGTCTCTTGACACTTCTGCAAACGATAAGGATGATGCCAATAGCAAGCACACCCTCTCAAAAGAAAAGCCCTTAAGAAACAAAGATACAGTAGGACCAAAGAGAAACTCTCTAAAAGACAGATCTCCAAGTTCCTCAAAATCTAGTGGCACTCGCCCTAACCACACAGGATCTTCTAGATCTGTGAGAACTTTGAATGCCTCTGAGAACGAAAGCATGAGGAAAGTAGTGCCTATTTCCCGGTCAAACAAAGCGCCGAGCAGCGTGAGAAAGCCGGAAGCCAAGCCGGCCCCTCGCGAAGCCAGTGCTGTGGAAAGCCGACTGTCGCGGCGCAGCTCTGTCCGAGGCACGACAGATACTCTGCCAAGAAGCCCCTACAGGCACAGCGTATCCGTAGAAGAGCCAAAGCTGCAGAGGGGGACCTTCACCTCAAGCAGTGCCCATTTTGAGAGGGACAGAGTCTCTCTCAAGAAGCCAAGCTCTAAGCCTGTCAGGAGTACTGTCAAATCAAAGACAGATGAAACAAAGATGTGTCGCTCCACTGTAAAATCCCAGGCCCTCCCCGAGGACACCAAGGTTGCCACGATCAGCGTTCCCAAGGCACCATCCTCTGTCCCAAACTTTGCGAGGAACACGGTGGCTTCTTCTTCAAAACGTGCAAAAGTGGATCTAGCCAGCTCATCCAGACCTCCCCCCTTCACCAGATCTGTGTCCCAGAGGCTGCCAAAAACGAAGCTGCCGGTGACAACTCCGGATGATGTGAATCCCAAGGAGAACGGTGGGAGTACATTAAAGAGAGCAAGCAGCGCCAGGGTTGTTGGAAGGGGCGTCCTTCACGGAGACACCGTGAGCACTACAGTGGAGCCTGAATCCAAGGAACAGGGTGCAGTGGAGAAGCCTTCTCTTAAACTCAAGGATGCAAACCGGACCGCGATAGGTAAAATACTGAAGCCATTGCTGAAATAAGAGTGTGGAAGAGGGGCTTTCTTGTGTTTTGGAATGTGAACACTTGTTTAAGCACTGGATGCCTGTATCATGAAATACCTTAAAACAGTTATATTGCTGATAAGCAGCATCATGTGTTCATCAAAGTACCGCACACCACTGGAAAAGGGCAACATTCTGGTCTAAATCCTTTTGTACAAATTTGAATGTATTTGAAGCTACTGTGATGGAATACAAGTGTAGCAACGCATCTTTGCCCATCTGTGATGTGGTAGGTCACCAAAAGCCAAAAAACTTTCAAGAAGTTCAACTGCAAGATGAAAGGCGTTGTGACAGAAAATGTGGGTTAAGGCCAGTTTTTGTGTATATAAAATTCTTCCTAAGACTTCCTAAGCGTTTATGCTAGTTGGTTCCTTTCTTGATGTCAAAGTGAATCCTGTGGAACAGTATCAAAAATGAACTTAGGTGATTGTGCTTTTTGTTGCTCTTAATTCCTCGGACTCAGGAACTCTTTTTGCCTGTTGCAAAGTCCATTGCTGGCAATTGGACAAAGTGGGAGCTGCTGGCCAAAAAATAGTGAAATGGGACATTTGCTGTTTGTGGCTGTCTCTACGTTTAACGAGGAATTTACAGCATGTTTTATGAATGTACGTGTGTCTGAAGGAAACTTTCTGCTGGGCAGGAAGCTTCTTTTCCAAGAACGTGGCAGCACTGTCTTGCATGCACAAGTAGGTCTGGGTGGTGCTGCCGCGAGCAGCGCGGCCGGAGGCCGTGCCTGCTGGAAGGGCTGCCGGTAACCGTTGGGATGATGACTACTCCTCCTCTGACTTGCTTCGGTCACGAGCAGGTTTATCAGCTTTTCGTCATACAGAAGTGCCATATATTTATGATACATATCAAGGATGTTTGCAGTTCAGCTCTTGAAGGCTGCAGTATAGTGCAGAGCACTTTCTTACCATTCCATGTTTCCACTGTTTTATCTACTACCAGATTACTTGAATGTTGCAATGGCTCAGAGCAAGCCATCAGTTTCCCTGTTTCCTCCTCCTCCTCTTCCTCCTCTTCTTGTCAACATGAATATTTAGCATGACACACATAGCTTACGCATGGCAATGTTTTTGTGGACTTCCTTGGTTGCTTCAAATGTGGTTTTTAATGTTTAAAGACTCTAAAGTATGAGTGAAACGAGTATTTGATAAGCTTTTTATGAAATAAGAACACTTCTTTTTCCTGCAGATACAAATTTTAACATCCTCTCAGACTAAGGTAAAGGGAATGAGGGAAAACTTGTTCAGCATGCTGTGCACCTCCCCAGGAGAAATGTGTGTAGGTGGGGGAACGGATCGCTGGGCTCCTAAACATCTTATTTAAAGATTTGCCTTTTTAATCACTCATTTAAGCCTCATTTAAGAATGAAATAGAGAAATAAAGGGAAAATGAATTTGGATGAGCGGTATTGGCTTGCTAGTAACAGAGCTCTTGCCTGCTCTATCCCTCCGTGCTGGGGGTGCACAGCTCGCTGCGAACGAGTCCCTTCCCTGCTCCCGCGTTGCTTCTCCTGGGCTGCTCGCCGGGGCCGCCGGCCTCCTGTCTGGAATCGGCACTGGGCCCTTCGCTCTTCCTACGTAGCAGCCAACCTCCGTGGGGACATCGCACCCAACACCACGAAGTATTACACAGGGTTCCTGACTGAGTCTGTCTCATGGGGACAATTCCTGTGGGCCACTGCCAGGCGAGGGGGCATTTTGCTACCCAGCTTACAAACTTTTGGATACTGCCTCCCTTGTGGGTTAAATACAAAAGCGTCTCCTTTATCCCTATTTGTATCTGTGTGTATGCACATCTGCGAGAGCAGGTGATTGTCTTTTCTTCCTTTTTAAAAAACAAGAATAAAAAACTTTTATTGGTATCAAGCTTGAAAAAATAATTTAAATGTGTTTGGAATATGTAAATAAATTTCTATAAATCTGTGTAAAAGAAAACATTGTATTTAATGGAGCATTTATACATTTCGGAGTACCTTGGTAGTTTAATAAACTTCCCATTTACTGGGTACGAGGTTTATACTTCTCTTTCTTCTTGTAGTTTTGATTTTGACCCTGGAGGTCGTGGGCAGCTGAGGTCTGGATGTAGGTGACTGTGAAAAAGCCCCAGATTCTGCAGCAGCCATTTGGGCAGTTAAAATGCTGGGTTTCTTGTTGTTCGAAGACAGGGCGACAGGAGCTCAGCTCGTGAGGCAGGGCTCCCTGCGCAGGTTGGGTCCAAGGCAAAGGGCGTTAGACAGTAGCGGCAGCACTTTCTGTACGTGCTGTACGTTATGGCCAAGACAAACGTTCATGGCACTGACAGGTCTGGATCTGTCACCATCTTCATGCCTTTCAGCTTAGCATACTTTATTGAGAAATCCTGGTTTACAGCTCCCAGGGCTGCGAAAATAAAGAATAGCCTATTTTGCAGGAGCTAGTGGCGACTTTGATACTGAGGTCTGAATTTTAACATTTCATCCCTCATCTTTTTTTTTTTTTTTTTAACTGTATGGAAAACATCTATCCAGCAGAAAACCTCGAACCCAGCCAGCCTGCTTGTCCTCAGGGAGCACCTCCTCCCCTCTGCTATGGAAATGATTTTTAGCCTGGAATTGCTGCTATTTTCAGACTTGTTTGGGCCCTGACTCTTCCCATTTGGCGAGAGCTGCCCAGGCAGCCGGGGTGGTGAGCACCCGTCTGCCCATGCCGAGTGAAGGCTGCTGAGGGGATCTACGTGGGAAAGCCCTTGGCCGTCAAAAGGTGTGTCTCAAAAGTTTGGGTTTTTTTAGGCCTCATTTTTGTTTCAAAAGATCTATAATTACCAATTCATTATTTAAACTACCAGCTGTCAGAGACAGCGATGCCCTGTAGGTTTAACTTCCCATGTCATGAAATTTTCCCAAATGCTACCAGGCCACGAGGCTGGCTGGATTGCAGTCACTTGTGCAGAAACAAGGCCTTTTCACAGCTTTGTTTTGGCAAACGGCTGCTGGTCTTGGTCGTGGAGCTGAACCCGCCTCCCTGGATGGCTTGGGGGGTGGGAAGAGGTGACAGTGATGTGGGGGAGCGCGAGGGGCTGTGGAGCAGGTAGAGATTGAGATGCAGAGGAACGAGCTGTGGGAGGAAGGGAAAGGTGCTGATTCACCCTAAGAAGAATTTAATTTCCACGTTTCATGTGGGAACTGCATACAGAGCAGGGGCTCAGTGGATCCCTCATTACAGCAGCTCATTAAACTATCAGGAAAGGCAGAGAGTTCCCATCACACCTCCCACAGCCTACAAGTCCGGACTGTGTCATTCAAAATAACCCCCGGTATCTTTCCAATCGCAGGGTACGTCGGAGCAGCCGGATGCAGACGGTCACGCGCCTGTTCCCACCTCCTTGGCCAGCGCCGACCCCGTCTCTGCACTGTGGCTCCCGCCGTGCTCCAGCCCTGCCACGTGGCCCCGCAGGCCCAGGAGGGGCTCCCTGCTGGAAGTCATTGCTGCTGCTCCAGGTGGGAGTGCAATCCCTGTGAAAGAGGCCCAGCTGAGTGCCGCTCCTTTCAGATTTGGCCGCTCGATGTTTTCCATTAACTTGATACACGCTGTTTACATCCTCCTGCCGCCAGCGCCAGAGATAACTGCCTTGGGAACAGCTCCCGACAGGTATTGTTAACAGCTGCCTGAAACAAAGGAGTCTCTTTTAGCCACGTCACCGTCTCAATAGCCAGGAACGCATTGCTTTTTCATTAGCAGTAAACTAATAAAAAAATCTGTGTCGTGCTCTTGGCTGCAAGATGCATTCTGGAGATCTTGCCTGCTATTGAAGCTGGCGTTCGAGCAAACAACTTTGCAACTAGGAAAGAAAGGGAGGTTGAAGCAAAGCGTGCATGAAGCCTCCTGGTTGCAGACGCGTGTTCGTTTCCCAGCGCGCGACTGCAAGAGCCCAACCACCAGCACCAACCAGCTGCACTCGGACAAGTCACGTCCAGGCTGCTGCTGTTGCCTGCCGGGGTGCAGGCCGCGGTGCCCAAGCTGAGGTGTGACCTGCCGCTTGCAGGGAGCAGTTTGCTCCTCTGCAGAGGGCAAAAAGCTCCTTAGCTCCTGCTGCCTGTTTGCCCCTTTCCGCCCCGAGCTGCCGGGGAGCACGGGGGCCGGCTGCCGCCATGGTTGGGGCGCCGATGTTGGGGCTGAGGTGCCCAGCAGCGGGGCAATGCCCTGGCTTCCGCGGCCTGGTCTGGGAAGAAGGGCCAGGGGCATGAGCGGATGGGGGAAGAGTTTGCCCCAGCCGAAGCAGAGACCAGGGCAAGATTCCCTTTGAACAGGGATGTGTCTTCCCTGCTTTTGATCATGTCTGAACAAAAGCTTCTCTTCTTTCCTTTTTCATCTTTATTTATTAAAAAAATTCTTTGAGGTCTCATCTTAGGGCAAGTGGATGGAAGATATGAACTCCACCTACTTTTTTTTTTTTTCTTTTTTTAACAATGACACTTTGACCATTAAATGGAGCTAGAGAGAGCTTCAAACAGCTCCCTTCCTGCACAGGGGCACCAGCTATTTTCAATGGATGTAGTGACTGGGCAGTCAAACAGACATAAAAGCAGAATCCCTGTTTAGCCCTAGAGCACATCCAAGTGCCTGTTCCCTCTTTTTCCCGAAATATCAATCCTAGCAACGGAACAAAGACAACCTTCATTTAGGCACCCAAAGGGAGCTGCCTAGCAATGCTTTGATACCCCTGCTAAATAATGGTTTATGGGGGATTTTACTTTACATTTCTCGCCCATTTCATTGTCAATAGAAACAGAGAGGGTACCCAAAGTGCAACTGAGAGCAGTGTACCAGGGCTGTAAAGTCGCCATCCCTTTCTGCCTAGTTTTTTTTTCATTTTGTAATTTAAACAGAGCAGTTGTTTGGTGCTTACACCAGATGTTCCTTTTCTGTAGGTTTAGGGCAATTAATGGATTGTCTAGGTGCACTTCTGGTAATTTATTAAAAATAAAGTAAGATTTTATGTCTTTTCAGGGGACTACCCCAAGTTCTGAGACTTCAGGATATTTCTGTTTCCAAACTGGGCACATGTGACTGGTAATTATCAATTCCTGCAGTTCAGTAATTGGTGTGTGAGCTATGGAAATAGATCTGTACACAGGGAAAATGTGGTAATGACAGATCAGTGAGCATAGCTGCAGTCAAGTCTTCCAAACCGTAATGGATCCTTTCCTTTATATCATTAGCATCCTTGTGTTTTTCTATGTGATCTGCTGCTTCAGGCAAATTCAGGTATAAACCACAGCCTCCAGGAGAAAGGGGCACTCTCTTGAGCCTGGCTCCATTGAGTCATTGTAGAAAATATTTGATTGAGCACTATTTGAGTCACTTGAGTTCTGGTGCTGAAAATATGATATGTTGCTAGCCCGGGTTTTCTTTCTGGTATTTTTCCTGCGGTATTCAAAACTGATTCCAACCTATTCCCTATGTAAATCTCTAATCTCCCATTTTAGGATGAAAAATTGGCACAATTGTATTTTTATTTTCCCCCACCCTTTTACAGCTGTATTTGCCCTCTTTACATTTCACAACTGTTTCCTCCCACTCCTATTTCCTCTATTATTGAATTTTCCGTCCTCCGCTAACTCATTCCCTGTCTTTAGTTTATCTTCCTCTCACATTTCACTATTCTGTAATCTCCTGCTCACCTTATTTTGCTCTCTCCTTCTTTCCTGACTCTTCAGCAGCTGCTTTACTTCCTCCCCTCCCTCCTCTTTCTGCCAG